TTCTTCTCCGAAGTTTTTAACCGGACGGTTTTAAAAATTTCAGGGGTAAAAATGTCACAAAAACGAGGTGTATGGGCAAAAGAACGTCGTTTATGAACGTCGTTCCAAAAATTTCTAGTTTTTAACAGTTTCCGATACGAATCCTCGTCCATCCTCAAGTAATTGTGCCAATCACCAGGCTCCAATCTTAGCTCCTCCAGTAAATTTGTGACAGTGTACTGCGTTTAAGTAGCCAGTCTTTAGTCCATTTTTCTTCGAGATTTTCTTTTTTTCGCGATTTTTTTTTCCACTGCCAAAACCGCTACCACTGATAACAAGCACGTCCGGTCCATCGTGATAAACTGGCGCAAAAAAAAACTATTGTGTGTGGACATATCAGTCAACGTTTTTCCTTCCAACGTTTTTAACCGTCGGTTAAAAAACGGCGAAGAAGAACGAGGTGAGTGGGGCCCTTTAATGTATTCTTCATTATCTGTATCTTCATCATTATGAGGCTCTTTTAAAAAACGTTTTAAAGCATTACCATACCCCAGAAGATTTTCGTCCTGATTCGTTTCCCGAATTTGCTTTTAAGTGGAGGCCTCTTGAAATTATGAACGATATTTAGCTTAAAAAGCTGCTTTGAAACCTCTAACAGTAGGATTTCGATTTAAAACTCCCTTTTCTGCCTATAGACAGAAAATTGGTTTTCTAATGGATGCTGAATTAGTCCTTCCTGTTAATACATATTTAAGTTGAGTTTTGCGTAATAATATAGGAATAAAACTCTTCAACGGCATTTTATGGTAAGAAGAAAAGCATCGAATCCGGTCTCGTTAATTTTACCTTTGGCAGCATCGAATCCGGTCTCGTTAATTTACCTTTGGCAGTTTGTTTAGCTATATTCTTTAAAAGTTTATATCCTTGTGTAACAGCATTAAAATCACCTCTTTATTCTTAATATAATACGATCGGTTACAAGGTTTCGAACTATCTGCAGAAGAACTATTTAAGCCATCAAATAGGTTGTTCATTGTTTCAATAAAATAGGCTGTATTTTCAGCCGTTATGGAAACTAATTCTCCAGTTATTGTTGCCGTTTTAATGGTTGTAGCTACAAAATGGCTAAATAACTGAGTAGCGAGCTTTACGCTCATTTTTTCAAATGCATTTGGGAAAAAGTTTTTTTAAAGTGATTTTTAATAAATTATTTCAATTAATAGTAATCATCAGTAATCATGATTTTTTTCGACCTCGAGTTTTTGACGGATTTTTACGTTTGGGGATCCCCTGAATTCGGTTTGACTATTTTCGCGATGATATATGTGTGTGTCTGTGTGTGTGGGTACATACGTGCGTGCGTGGGTGCGTACTAGGGTGCGTGCGTGCCGGTGTGTACATACTCGATAACTCATGAACGGATACAGAAAAAAACACCAAATTCTAAACTTAAGCTTTAATCCATTCTGTGGTAATCAAATTAGATGTTGGACACAGTCGAAAAATCTGGGGAGTACTTTATAGGGGTCGTTTTTCTATTTTATGCATTATATCTGTTATTTACGCTTGGCGCAGAAAATTTTCAAATAAAAGTTACTTGTAATATTATTATCTATAATTTTTGCCCTATACAAAATTTTTCTAAAATTTGAAAATTTGACAAATAGTAAAAAGTTCAAATTTTTAAGAAAATTTTGGGGGGTACTTAGAAGGTCGTTTTCTACTTTATGAAATATCTCTGTTATTTACACTTTACAGTTGCTCATAATGTTATTCTCTATAATTTTTGTCCTAGACATAATTTTCCTAAAATGGCCAAATGGTCAAATGGTCCGAATTTTTGAGAAAAAGTCAAGTTCGAATTTTTAAAAAATTTATTCAAATAAAAGTTGTTTGCGATATACATGATTTCTCTAAATTTTTAAAAACAATAACGAAATCTGCTTAACGTCAGATTATATTTTTTTTCATTTCTCTTTTTGACTCAATAATTGTTTAACACGTATTCCACCTGATTGCAAGCATGTTCTTCATTGTATGTTTTTTAAATAATTCAATAGCCAATGGACTGATAATTTTATTAGATTGTGCGTAATTTGAAGTTCATGTCATTGAGATAGATCATCAGGGGCGTGCGGTCCATGGAAGCGGGGGAAGCACCGCTTCCCTACACTTTGAGATTTAAAAATAAATATTTTTCAGTTTACAATGCATAGAAATTAATATTAAATTAGGTACTATATTTTCTCTGAAACATTACGTAACTTCGTAAATGAACTAACAATTCATTGGTGTAATGTGTAAACGCACGCACCACTCATGAGAAAATTAATTGTGTAAACGCACACCATATACTTCAATCAGCGGAAGCGCCCCTTGAAAAGCCCGCTCAGGTTCTAATTAATTTCGCTTGCCGCGACAGTAGACAGTCTGTTTGTACACGTAAAATACGGTCGAGAGGCAGCGATTTTTACGTCGCCTTACGCATATTGCAATTCGCACCACGAATCGATGTGTGAGGAAAATCGTAGACTTCAGATAGATTTAGGTTTTTTTTTCGTAGTTGTTTTTCTTTTTGTAAAATTGAGGAACTATGCACTGTGCCTGTGAGCAATAATAATGTGGTAAATTGTGTCTGTATTGTGTACACATTATTGAAAAAAGGATTTTCAAGTAGAAATTTTTAAGAGAAAATGGACATTATTAGTTCTAGTAGACTAAAGGATCCTATCAATTTAGAGACGAAAGTAGAAAAGTCAGGAAATAAATTTACCAGACATTTTCACGTAGGGTACAATGAAAAATATGAATGGTTAACCGGCTGCAAAACTTTGAAGAAAGTGTTTTGCTTGCCTTGCCTACTTTTTAATATAGCCGAAAAAACAGATTAGAACTCAGTCGGTATTACAGAATAATTTTCACAAAAGTGTAAAATGACATGTAAATAGCAAATCTCATATAAGTGCTACAATTAAAGAAAAAACATTCAGGACCTATCGCATTGAACATAGTTTGGACAATCATTTAAAAATAAGCAACAAAATTCACAATTAAAGGGTAAAAAACAACGAATAATAGATGTAACTTGTTTCCTGGGAGAGCATGAACTAAGTTTTAGGGGTCACAATGAAGCAAGTGGATCCGCCAATCGGGGAAATTACATGGACCTTCTAAGTTTTTTAGTAAAATACGATGATACTCATTTTATTGATTCGACGACTTTCCGAAGTACCTCAAACAAAATCCAAAATGAATTAAACAAATGCACTGTCGACGTTGTGATGAATCACACTAAAAGTGAAATTAAAAAAGCACATTTCGTATCAATTGCGCTTGATGAAACCACAGATGTAGCAAACTTAAGTCAATTATCCATTGTTGTGCGATATGTATTGGATGGCATTCCTCAAGAGCGATTCTTAGGATTTTTGGACGTCACTAGCGAACGAACTGCAGATGCATTGTTTAAAATTGTTTGTGACATTATTTCAAGTTTAGAATGTGGTTCTAAGCTTGTTGCCCAGATTTACGATGGTGCTGCCGTAATGGCTGGCCATTTAAGAGGCCTTCAAGCTAAAGTGAAAGAGAAGTTTAAACATGCAATTTTCGTTCACTGTATAGTACATAGACTTAATTTGGTTTTATCGCGAAGCATGAATAATATTAAAGATTGCAAAGTTTTCTGTTTGACGCTTAATGGTTTGGCTTCATTCTTTTCAAAGTCGTCGAAAAGAACTCGCGCTTTGGACATTCACGTTCAAAAAAGGTTTCCAAAAGTTGTTCAGACGCGATGGAACTACAATGGACGTTTAGAGCAAACAGTGTTTCAATACCGTGATTCTTTGATACACTTTTTTAAAGACGTTTGGGATAATAAAGAAACATGGGATGCTGAAACTGTTACTGCCGCTAAAGGGTATTTGCATTTTGGCTCAAACTAAACTTTGATTTCAATTTTTTGCTCAACATTTTTGCAGAGATTTTCCCTTTTACTGACATTTTTTTTATAGTCAAATGAGATTGACTTCTGCATTAAACAAATTGATGATTTTAAAAATAAAATGAATAAAAAACGAGATCAGTTTGAACACTTTTGGAATAAGACTCAAAATATTGGCTTAGAACCTGAAAGAAAGAGAATTAGAATTGATAATGTCGGCGACAGAGAGACCTTCTATCGTCGATTATACGCCGAAATTTTTGATAATATTTTACAACAAATGAACTCTCGATTTCAAAACTTTAACGAATTAAACCAAACTAAAATTAAATTATTGAAATTTTTTCGATATTCCAGCAATAAAATCCCAGTTAAGTGTTGTTCATGAAACAACTGAAATTAGTGATAAAAAGACGCCCATCAATGTGTTAAATTTGCTTATAACAACTGGTTTAAATAAGTCCCTTTGTGAAGTCGTCAAGTTGTGTGAATTTAGTACTACCCATCCCAGCCACAAGTGCGCCAGTTGAGCGAAGTTTTTCAGCTTTAAAGCGCATTAAAAGTTGTATACGAAATTAAACTAATTTAGCCCTAATATCCATTGAAAAACAGCTTGTCAAACAGTTATCAGAAAATCCAAAATTTTAAGACGATGTTATAGACAAATTTGCAGCCATTGAGGATAGGCGAATATATTTAAGTATAATTAAATGTCAACTGCTGTGTTAACTGTGCGAAAAATGCTGGAAAAAATAAAAAAAACTTCAGTTAAATGATTTTTTTACGTTTAAACCAAGGAAGCTTTTCAATGGTACGTTTTTTTATAGCTTCTAGTACTAAACTAGGTAATAAAGTCATAGTAACACTTCAAAAATCTCAATCTCGAATATCCGTAGTACTGAGGAAAAAAGCAAGATTTTGACAAAATGGTGAAGCGCCGCGAAAAATGTTCGCCTGTGCTTACTGGCCTGCTGTATTTTTATACAATCGCTTCCCCTTCCAAAAATGTCACCGCACGCCCCTGTAGATCATATTTTTAAGCTCTGTCAAAGATTATCAGACACTACATTTTATTGGACGTTTTTGTAACCGGCTCATAATCTTGTTGATTTTAGATAGATTTTTAACAACATTCATAAAGTGCATACTGAACGATTACTTAAGTCTGGTTTAGTGAAAGTAAAAACCACATTCAGTGGTAACATAATTTTATTGCAGTTCGTATTATTACATCACATTATACCAGATGAAAAGAAGCTTAGCGATCGTTTTAAAATTTATGAATTAGTAGTGAATGGCTAATATTTAAAACCGATGTTGGATTACGAGTTACAAAATGTGAAAATGAATACCGTAAGTAGTTTAAATTATTGTATAGAAATATAAACAAATTATTGATAATTCATAAAATTAAAAGTATAATTTACATTATATTATTATATAATTTCTATGATTTTTCGTAAAAGTGGGTATTATCTACGTCAGTATTATAATCAAAATTCTACGACGCATAAAAAATTAAATAAACAACATAAAAGAATGCTATTCTATTAGAAACTTCTAATTGGATTTTAATTGACAAGCTGATTTCAGCTGACACTCTGAAATTCGAAAATGTTTGTTTTAAAAGTGGGGTGCGTTTGGCCACTGATTGACCTAATAACTTTTTTGAGTGCCTTCTAAAACAGAATGATTAAAAAATTAATGATCGAGTGCACGCAGGCCCTCCGAAGTTAATATTTTTCAAAATTGCATGCACCATAGAAATTGACCAACGTTTGTTCATATTTGCCCCCACCACGCACAAAATTTTTTATCCACCCCTTAAAATAACTTCAGTATGGTAAATTATCGAAAAACACGAATTCTGGGTCAATCGTCAGAAGAGCAGAATTATGATCCAAAAAGAATTATGTGTCGACGTTGGACTACTCCCTAAAATTATTTTAAACACCTCACAGGAGGCACAAATTCTAAACAGACAATTTCCAAATCAAATTTCGTTTAAAAAAAAAATATTTTTAATTATCAACGATTAACCACTCTTTAAAATATCTCTAAGGACACAAAAGAGTGTGCAACTTCGACAAATATAATTTTTAAAACGAATTTAGACTTGGAAAAAATGGTTAATCTATAGGAACGGTCACAATAATAATCCAAAAAGGTTTCGACATTTGACCACCCCCTAAAATACATTTAGCAGTGACGGCTCGTGATAATACGAAATGGTAGTGCCAGCTTTTTAACAAATGTGAAAACCCCGCTGGAGGCGCCCTGTCGGAGGCGAAACATTTTTTTTGGTGCCACCTTCAAATTTTTACCCAAAAGTCATTTAAAAAACTGGCTTTGGGCAAAAATTTATCACGGTATTGTCAAAATAGATATAAAATTTTAAATAAAAAAATAAATGATGGGTGGATATTTTTATATTTACTATATGACTACTATTTACGGGGTTTCTAACACAAGTTTTGCCAAGAAACAGGCCGTCAAGGTTAGTCTTATCCTAAACTTTGCCAATAAATTACTCAAAACTTATCAAAGAACTCTGTAAAATTAATTAAAAATTATGAATTAACTTACCCCCAGTAATTAATGCTGAAAGTCATTGCAGTTTGTTATTACCATAAAGAGTATTTAGATCCGTGTACCAGTTTTAAAGTTTCCGATAAATGAAGTGCATTCTTCTTTGTTTTTTGGTTGCAAAGTTTTCAATTACTTTATTATTAAAATGTTCAATTCCATTTACAAAATGTTTTTCTGCGGACAACATACCTAAAGCACTAAGTCTTTCTTCCTTCATTGTATTTCTGAGGAATGTTTTAATCCGTTTAAGCATTAAAAAACATCGCTCTGCTTTAGATGTTGACATAAGTATTGTTATTAAAATACCTAAAAGTTTTAAGAGTTTCTTGAAATGTACAATTTAAACCTTCATAATTTAATAAAATTGACATCGGGACAGCTCCGGAGGTGGTACTTAATTCGTCTCTCTGATACAGTACTTGTAATTCATTTTTAAGCATATTTTTGTCTAAAAATGAAAATTGTATGTAAATGTATATAAATTGTATGTAAATGTATATAAATTGTATGTAAATGTAAATGTAACAACCACCGTCACTTAGGAAGTAACTGTTGTCACTAAATAATAATGTAGTGGCCAAAAGGACTCTAGTCATCAACGGGGGGTGTACACTGTAAGTGTAAAGGCAGCCTGTCACCAGCCACAGTCAGGGGATAAGGTCCTTAGAGCTTATTCACTCTCACCGTGACAAAAAAAAAAGAAAAAAAGAAAAAATAAAATAATAGGTTTAAAATAAAAGAATTTTCCCCCGTGATGAATAGAACGAGCGGATTAAGGAAATGGTTTGGCAAACTGACAATAGGCACCTATAGTCCTTACTCGGGAGTAGGTTCGCCGGGGCTTCGCAAAAGTGCCCGGAGTGTCTTTTGACAAAAGGGGAAGGTAGACCTGATGAAATCGAATATATTTTGGTTAAAGAATAAAAAAGAACATCTAAATAATTATTCAGTTATCCAACTCTGGACTTTGTTAGATAGCTTATCTGAACTAGGGGTTGTCCCTCTTTATAGAACTCGGGCAGAACTCAACAACTCTTAACACACATAAGATAAAACCAGGTGAACGTTTAACAACTTAATATATTTAGCTCAATATATATTTAAACATGTAACAAATTTTAATCATAGACAAAAGAAACGATCAAGTAATACAATATGTTTGGAGGTACAAGATCCACCCTGAGGTTCTTGCCTGATTCGGTAAATCAGTCGTCGATAACAAAATACCGATTGAGGAATGATTCGGGAAACTGATGCCTATAGACCGAAAACTTCTCTGACATAAATAAATTAAAAGCAACCAAATGCCCAGAGAAGTTGAACCTTGTTTTTATTTGCAATAAAACGACATCGCATATTTCTAAGACTTCGCGTTTTCTGCTGTTCTCTTCAATTCGTGCCTTTTTTCTTATTGTTTCACCAGTTTCTCCTTGCGACTTGTTTATTTCTACTTGAATATTGTCAATAATTCTGTCCATTTGCTCCCGTATACCTTGAATTGCTGCTTCGAAATTTTCCAAATCTTTCTTGACCTTAACAGAATCTGTGCATACTTTTTCTAATTGGTTAAAAATAATTTCCACGTAAGGCATTATTTGATGAAAAATACTTAACCAAAATATAAAATTTTTATCCAGAAGTTTTAATTTGTACCCACTTGCTTGATTAATAGACGACGAATCGCGTAAAGTTCATTCTATAATGTCCACAACTGTAATGAGGTGTTTTCTATTCTCATAAACAGTATAAACACCTCGCGATTGAAAATGCCAACGTGTTTGGGAAAATCTTGGCAACCTGCAATTAACTACCTCATCCAAAATTTTTGTTCTTTAAGGAGACGTGGAAAAGAAAGAGCACAAACCAGATAAATTAGAAAAAATATTCTAGCCTGTTTATTGACAGAACATGCACTTGTCATAACTAAATTCATCTGGTGTGCATAACAATGAACGTAATTTGCAAGAGGATATGTTTGTTTAATAATTTTTTGCACACCATTTGATCCATCACTCATTACAGACGCGCCGTCATAGCTTTGAGCAATTAATTTATTTGGACTATGTTTTAATATAGATGTAAAACATTTTAAATGCATTCAGCAATTGATTTGGCGTCGTGTCCATCGAGCATACAAAACCTCCAAAATCTCTCAACAGGTCGTCCTTTACACAAATATCTGAAAACTATAACTAAATGAAATTCACAAGCAACGTCCGTCGTTTCATCGGCAATCACTGCAACAAAAGGAGAATTTTCTATTTCTTTCCTAACTTCTTCGTGATAAACATCTAACATGCACTCAAGAAGTTCATTTTGGGTTGTTTTTGAGGTACCTCTGAAAGCTTTTGAACTTTGAATATGAACCTTTAAGTCGTTGTCTAGGTGCTAAAATTCACCAGCTCCTTAAATATGCCTCTATTTTCGGAATTATCTTTCTCATCGTGACCCCTTAAAGCTAACTCAAAAGCTCTACAAAACCTTATAAAATTTATAATTTGATTTAGAACATATCGATTCTCATCCACTTGTTGATTATGTTTAATTAGAGCATCACGATAAGCCGAATTTAACTGGGTTTTTATATTTAACTTACCAAGCATGGAAAAGCTAAAAACATTATTCATGCGCACTCTAGATTTTTCATGGGATTTCATTTTATCCCATATATAGACAAGATCGTCTGTGCCTTTTTTTTACCAAGTCTCGTCACCTCCAAACAAAATACATACAAAAGAAAACAGTTTATTAGTTTCTTCACAACCACACAACCAATTATTTTTATCATAAATAGTTTTATTAAATTTACGACACCGCGATTTTTGCCCACTTCCACTTTATTTTTTAATTTTTAAATCGGGAATTGGCCGGCCTAATTCTTTAATTTGTAGTTGTTTTTTTCTAGCGAAAAACCACTAAAAGAGTTTTTTAAGACGCCAATTTTATTCATTGCCACAATAAATTAAAAACTAGGAAATAAGATATTTAAACAAGTTTATCGAAAACAAAAAGACACTAAAACTTCGTAACGTAACGAAAAACTTAAAAGCGCGTAAAGAAATTCGGTTAATTCAGTCAACAATCGACAGAAACCGCGATTATCTAAACCGCTATCGGCGCTGTGCCTGGCACGAACATTCCTTGATTTTACCAGTTAAATACATGTAAAATGTCCCCATCTCTGTTGCTCACATAGGCTGCTGGTAAAATATCTCTCTCTCTCTCTCTCTCTCTCCCCTAGTGCCAGCTAAGAAATGGCTCCGGTTGCGGCAAGAGCTTGGAGATTTATGCAGCGCGAGGTTGCCACATTTAAAATAATTTTTGAATATAAAAAGAAATGCATAAAATAAAATAAAACTATGATAAAACGTTTTAAAAATAAAAAATATATTTTTGCATCAAAAATAAGGTAGTGCCATGGCACAGTGGCACTACATCACGAGCCACCACTGATTTAAGGACTTCAAAGGGTGCGAAAATTCAACAAATGTCTACTCACGAATTCATTCGTTGTTTTATTTTGTCACACTAGTCTTCACAATCAGTGCAGTGTCAATATTATCATAGTTAATTTCGTATTTAAATTAATTTTATGGTAATAAATAATGCCATTCGATAATTAAGATATAATTACAATCGTTATAATAATTCATATATCATATACCTTCTAATATCCCTTGAGACAAGTACGAGTGAAAGCTACAGAGAGTTGGCATTGGAGCGAGCTGAAAAGGAATGGGGTCAACGTTGCCCCATTTATACGA